CCTGTTTTCAAGGTTACTGTTGTAGGAGCAGAGAGAGATGTGATTAGGTCTGATGAGCATTCATTACACTAGCAGAATAAAGACGCTAGCTAGCATTACGGCTTAAAGGAAGCGAGGATTGGTAGACCTACTCGGGGATTGATTCTATCCCTTTTCCTAACCCTGCACCTCAAATAGTATTGGAATAAAATGAACCATATAAAAGTTGTGGACTAACCGTTAACAGAGGCGATTATCAGAATCGAATGAACTTTTTCAATCACACTGATCAGGCGGACTAGAAAGAACAATGCACGTTGAATACGAGCCGCGAGTAAAAAGGAACACGAAAACTGAAAAGGATACTGTACTCTTGCAATATCATTTGGGTCATTTTCTCGTTGATCTTTGTTAAGGGTACCATCGAGGTGATTTGCAATCCGCCAGTTTTCTTGGCCTATAATCGTACAGGAGGGGGGGGACAACAAGAAGCACGTGTGTAGTGCGGAATAGTGCGGATCCGGACATATTAGATGGCCACGAGAAGATATATAATCAGGCAACAATTTCAAACGAATAGAACAGCTAATAGATAGGATCTTTAACCAGACGTAGAACACGCAGTTCAGGGGCTCTCGAACTGAACAGCATGATAATTCTCCCGCATATTGCCAGTACTGGATACCCTAGGGTTAGGTAGAGCTGAATGCTACCAGGCGCGTCCCCGAGTTGTGGATAGGGGGATAACTTCGCCGAAGAAGGTTAACTGTGAATAAGTAGTGGCATACTGCAACAAATAAGCAGGCGCGAACAAACAGCTCCTGTTTAAAAGCCGCATAAGCTCAATGGCGATGTCGTGACAAAGGTCGATGTGATTGGCCCTTTTAGAACTAAAGCCATTGACCTCCTCACTTCCGAGGCGAGGGATTACTTCCAACTACCTTACAGTTCGCGCGTGGTTGTACAAAGTCTAGAGGCGCGTCCTCAAAATAAAAAACATCGAATGACGCAGGGGACGTCTCTCATACCAAACTCCCAAGGAACTTCATGATCATGATCATGAGCCGGCTTACCCTTGCCAAGGAGCCAGCCACAGTAGAGTAAAGTAAGCACTGAGTGCAGAGGAATTCTAAACGGGGACATGTGCATGACACAAGCCCCACTTATTATGACTAATTAAAATTGATTGCACTGTCGGCATTACGGATACGCTCATTTCATTCGACTTGTGAAATAACGCGACAAAATGAACGTTTAAACATTTTCTATCCTGGTTCACGTGATATAGTAACCCTGTTATAAACAGACGTGATTGAACTGTCGCAGCACACAATCGCCTGGTCACGGATGTCCTACGGACGAGCCAAAGATACCGTGAAACAACAAACACGGGGTTTTCTATCCCGTTGCGGACACCTCGTGCGAGATGAAAGGTGGAACGAAGGTAACTCCGCCACGCCCCAAGTCAAGCAAGTAGATTACTGTACATAACATATTGGGCGTTCACTCAACAATGTTCGAGAAACAGCTACTAATCGGGGGAAGATTTGAAGGCAATCAGCTACCTTCCGAGGAGGGTAATTTTCGAAATCATCTTGACCACGGAATTGGCGAGGAATGGACGGGGACAATCAATCCTGATAAGAAGTATATTTCGTGAGATGAACTGGACTCATTCATAAGCAAAATATTTCACGAAAGAAGCTAATAAGCTCACTCAAGTCCTATCACTTGTCAGTTTTAGCTTTTACAACCGTTGACCACACATTTTAGAGTTCTGGTACTGGTCATTGACTTTAAGCTACTTGTCTAGATAAATCACTTACGCCAGAAATCTCTCTAGTCGGCATCGGTATTTCTACTAGACACATCGATATAACGAACAGCAGTGGAGACAGGGAGGAAGAGCACAAATCCCACAATACTTTTAAATTCTGTTCCATGGTGTGATAAACAGCAGAACTAGCGAACCTCCATGTGAAGACTCATCGTTCACCCAAGGGAACTGGCAACCTAAGCCCTAGGACTTTGAGCGGCGAATCACATGAGACCGTACGAGCAGATTATTCAACAGAGCTACAGAGAAGCTTTATCTACTACCAAAGGAGGATCAGTTATTCAATTATGGAAATCGACTGCCTAGGCTCTTAAGACTACAACTGATGAACCGCATAAAGCCCTCTAATAGGATAGACTAAGCGTTTGACTAGGCGAGAATTCCGGGGTGTATCAACAAATCTCGATGGGTGTGGCATAACAACGACAGTGACTTAAAGCGATCAAACACTTGCATTGAGAAATACTTATTTTTCAAAATGAAAGGAATGGAGGATTTGATTTGATCAGACGATGAATGCGTCGTATAAATGAGGCGTGAGCTGAAAAGTTGAGAAGCACTGGACAGCTGTTTTGATCTGGCTGGTTCTCATCAGCCGTGCAAAATCCATCGACCCAACTGGGGATCGAAACCGGGACTTCACTAGTAGTATGAAAGCATACTACTGATCAGACCGTTTCTCATTTGGAATATACGCGATATAGCACAACCCATATTTGCGAACTTGTTGTGGGCAACGGACCTCGCTTACGTTCCAACAGTGAGCTCCCGGGTTCGATGAATTCACATTGTTGATGAGACCCAACCAGGTCGAAACAACTGTCCAGTACTTTCCAGCTTTTTAGCTCATGCTTCATTTACACGACGAATTCATCATCAAATACTGATTTTCTGTGCTGACTGTGCGCAACACGTTCCACAAAATATTCTCTGTACAACCGTGAAATCAGTGAACTTCCAGGGAAATTTCGTCCAATTATTCATATAGCACTTACGAGTGGTAGTGGGACAGTGGTTTAGTCGATGGCATTGGCGTGCTTTGGACCCTGTAGTCCGAGGTTCGAGCCCAGCCACCGCCAACCAACTTTGGTGGTGGGCAACTGTGCTAGCGTACGAATCAATACCACACCTAACCTATCGGGGTCTTATGTGATTCGCCACTCCAAGTCCCATGGCCTAGGTAACCGGTTTCCATCAGTGAACGACAGGTCTTCATGACTATAGGGTTTACCCCGTCTGCCGTTCATCACACGAAAGTGTGTAATAAAAAAGTGATGCAGCAGACCACGCCTGTTCGGTTATTGTTGCAAACATCTTCCGCTTCGTTTGGTTCTGTTGTCCGGTGATGAATCCATGGTGCTCAGATTAGATTGGAATAGAAAATACACGGTTGTCTCTCTCTCTCTCTCTCTCTCTTAGTACCTCAGGTGATCAGGGAGCTTTAGCGAAATATTTGTCCCCAGGGCACTTTCCTGTTACAAGTCCATGCGAGCGAGGTCGTGTCTTTTTGTCCGAAACTAACACAATGCATCGTCGAGATGCGTATCGCGTGCTGTATTCCCTCCACATAGCATTCACTACGCTAACTTTAAACTTATTTTCCTATAGAACGAAACGAAGACAGAATATAATCGTTTTCCCAAAGACGGGGTTTCGATGAAGAATGGATAGTAGGA